CAATGAAGGAGACAGTGTGTTGGATAAAAGAGAATTTGACTGGCCTCTGTCCCTGATTCCTGGAAAGGAGACTAAGTCCTTGGAGCAGCTGTCATTCATGAGCCCCTGAACACACCTGAGTTTATGCTGACGAGATGATACAGCATGGGGACTGGTCACAACCAAGACCAAGCATATGACTGGAGGGTTTGGGGCTTCAATCACCTGGCCAAGGAACCACTCCATCATGCCTACGTAATGAAACCCCAATAACAAGTTTGGACACCAGAGCTTGATGGAGCTTCCTAAGCGGTGAACACACCATGTACCGGGAGGTGATGCACCCTGATTCCACGGGCAGAGGGCATGGAAGCTCTGCATTCGGGACCGTCCCACTCGCCCTATGTGTCTCCTAATTTGACTGGTCCCTCGTTTGTATCCTTTATAATAAAAGTATAAGTGTAAGTATGGCACCTTCCTGAGTTCTGTGAGTTGTCCTAGCAAATTACCAAACCTGAGGGGGCCTGGGGAAATCCTAGGATTTGTAGCCAGCTGGTCAGAAGTGCAGGCAGCCTGGGGACCATTTGCAGCTGGTGTCTGAAGCAAGGGCAGTCTCATTGAACACCTTGCCCTAAACCTGTGGGGTATGACACTAACCCCGGGTAACTGGGCAAAGCTCCTCTCACTAGTGCACACTTGTCATTTGGGTCTGCCTGGCATCCATTTCTCCATCTCCCAGGCTCAACAGGCCAAACATTCTTTGGGAAAGCAGCCCTCACCGACTCTCAGCTCCTGCAGGCTTGGTGGGGTGGACTCGGCTCCCACTTCCCAGAGCAGGCACTAGCTCCAACCCCGTCAGCCTAGGGTCACCTAGGTCACCAGGGTTGGTTCACAGAGGGACACATAACCCAACTGGGTAAATGAAAACTGCTGGAGAAGAGATTCTCCCTGCTGTTGTGTTGCTGAGCCAGCAGGCTGTGAGCTTAAAGTCGCTGCATAGTCCGTTACCGCGTGGGGAGTGAGCTGCTAAGAATGGAACCAACTCACTGGTGGGTCAGCCACAGCCGCACAAGCCCATGGGGACTCTGGGGGCCCTGGAAAACCACAGCTCAGTCTTGTGACCTCCTGCTTTACGTAATCACCTCTATGAGTTCTCAGGTCCTCTGCCATTAAGAAACTTTGTGTCCTCGGTATCCACTGGCATCTGTCTGTCAATCTCATCTCCACCCACGCTGACAACCACACAGTTTCTATTACTTGCTAATAAAAAGTGCTTACCCACAAGAGAGGGACCATCTCATCTCTTGCCTGCTTTCTGTTTTGTTTTGTTTTTTAAAATAAACTTACAGACAATGATGCTGTTCAGGCAGCACCCTATGCTGGTAGAGTGATTCTTAGTATTCCAAACAGGCCAATTAAGAAGCAAGATATATTTTATTTACACCTCCAAATCAGGAACAAGCCCATCCCATACTCCTGACAACCTCACTAATACGAGAAAGGGAGAATAAAAATGATGGTAGGTGAGGAAAACATCACAAAAATGGGGCAGGGAATAAACCGGTTGATTTAAATATGCAAAGAGGCTATTGCAGGCAAAACAGAAAAGACCTAGGAACACCACCTATAATTTTCTGGAATATAATTTAGAAAGGCCCTTGACAACACTTACAGTTATGGGCTTCAATGGGTGATAGTCTCCAAACTCCAGTGGCACAGCCTCCAACCGGCATGATGCAAATTCAGCCTTGTAGTTCCTATTCCTGGAATGCCTGGTGAAGAGCAAACCCCAGACACCAGTTAATTGATGGAGATACACAACACACTAAACACTTTTTGCTGAGACTTCCTCAATAATGAAGTGGTTTATAGTGGAACAGTATTTCTTTTTTTGTGTGTGAGCAAGATCAGCCCTGAGCTAACATCTGATGCCAATCTTCCTCTTTTTTTTGCTGAGGAAGATTGGCCCTTTATATGGGACGCCACCACAGCATGGCTCAACAAGCAGTACATCGGTGTGCACCCGGGATCCGAACTGGCGAACCCCAGGCCGCCGCAGCAGAGCACGCTCACTTAACCACTTACGCCACTGGGCTGGCCCCTGAACAGTATTTCTACCAAGACTAGCAAGAGAGGCTAAATAAAAAAATTTTAACAATCACTTTGAAGGTCTAAGGAGCTGCCAGGGTATACAAGACCTGCAAGGCCAGACACCAGAGCAGAGGCAAGCTCACTGCGGTGAAGCCAACTTTCCTTGCCCAGCTTTCCCTCACAGGGCATTTGCTGATTCCTGGCACGGGATGAGAGGCTGAAGCCCGGCAGAGGGCGGCTGCTAGGAGGCAGAGCGGCCAAGAGCTTTAAGGAAAACTCTCGGGGCTGGGGAGAGAAATTAGGGTCAGGCCTATCGAGACAGTCAGGGCTTGAAGGAAGAGCTTCTGAAGAGAAGAGAGTGCAGAGAAGTGAGAAATCCAGCCTGGTCTCCCCTCAAAGTATTCGCCAATTAAGCTGTGAGGAGCCAGAGAAAGGAGCCAAGCAGAAAGCAGATGAGGAGCAGAGAGTTTACATCAGTCTTGTGGGGGCTTAGCAAGTGAAGGGACTAGTGAGATGCAAAATAAAAGGGGAGAGGGAACTCACACGGAAGGTGGGCAGCACAGAAAAGAGTGTAAAAGACATAGGGACACAAAGAAAAGGTCTAACACACATACAATTGGAAGCCCAAAGGGGAAGAGAGAAAGAATGGACAGAGGCAGCATGTGAAGAGACGATAGCTGAAATTCTTCCCAAACTGAAGAAAGACATCAAACCACAGATTCAAGAAACACCTGCGCCCCGAGCTAAACCAGTACAAAAACAACCACACTCAGGGCCTTCATAGTAAAACAGCTAAAAACTAAAGCGAGGGGATGTCTTAAAAGGAAAAAAGATGCATTATTTTCAAAGGACAACAATAAGATTATTGTCTCTGCACAGAGATGAGAGCCAGGAGACAAAGGAATGACACCTTTAAAGTATACAGTGAAAGAAAAATCGCCAACCAAGAATTCTACACCTAGTGAAACTACCCTTCAAATGTATGGGCAAATGAAAGAAGCTTCCAGTCAAAGAAAATCTGAGAACAGCAGCAGGAGAGCCACACATTAAATTAAAACAAACAAACAAAAATGCTGAGGGCAAAAAGTAAATGGTTCCAGTTGAAAGCAAAAAATAGAGAGAGAGGTATTTAATTATGTGTGTATATATATACACATACGTGTATAAACTAAAGAGTAACAAAAGATAAAGGTGTGGGTAAAACTAAATGAATACTGACTGCAAAAAATAATGCATAGTGTTTAAAATACATGTCGAATTAAAATGCGTGACAATGAGAACATAAAAGACAGGAGAGATGCTATGGTCTGAATGTTTATGTCCCCCAAATTCACAGGTTGAAATCCTAACCCCCAAAGGTGATGGTATGAGGAGGTGAGGCCTTCGGGAGGTGATTAGGTTATGAGGGTGGAACCCTCTGGGTGGGATTAGTGCCCACACAGAAGAGGGTCCAGAGAGCTCCCCAGCCCCTTCCACCACGTGAGGACACAGTGAAAAGGCACCAGATATGAACCAGGAAGAGGGCCTTCCCCTGTCCACGCTGGCGCCACAATCCTAGACTTCCAGCCTCCAGAACTGCGAGGAACAAAGCTGTGTTGTGCATAAGTTACACGGTCTCCGGTATTTTACTGTAGCAGCCCAAACAGATTAAGATAGAAAATTGGTACTGGGAGTGGGGTGCTGCTGTAACAAACACCTAAAAATGTGGAAGTGGCTTTGGAACTGGATAATGGATGGAGGCTGGAAGAGTTCTGAAGAACCTGCTAGAAAAAGCCATTGCTGTGAACGGCCTGTTAAGGGCTACTCCAGTGAGGGTTCAGAAGAGGAGAGCTGTAGAGAAAGCTTCAGTCTCCTTAAATAATACCTAAGTGGTTGCCAACAGAATGTTGGCAGAAATATGGGGATAAAGGTCATCCTGTTGAGGCCTCAGAAGGAAACCAGAGGAAAAGCGATTCTTGTTTTAAAGGGGCAAAAAGCTTGGCTGAATTGTGTTGGTGTCCCAGTGTTTTGTGGAAGGTAAAACTCGTGAGCGATGAAACTGGATATTTGGCCGAGGAAACTTCTAAGCAAAGTGTGGAAGGAGCAGCTTCGCTTCTCTTGAATGCTTACGGTAAAATGGGAGAAGAGACAAATGACTTAAAGGCGGAATGGCTAATCAAAAGGGAAACAAAACTTAAAAATCTGGGCCGGCCCCGTGGCTTAGTGGTTAAGTGCACGCACTCCGCTACTGGCAGCCCGGGTTCAGATCCCGGGCGCGCACTGACGCACCGCTTCTCCAGCCATGCTGAGGCCGCGTCCCACATACAGCAACTAGAAGGATGTGCAACTATGACATGCAACTATCTACTGGGGCTTTGGGGAGAAAAAGGAGGAGAATTGGCAATAGATGTTAGCTCAGAGCCGGTCTTCCTCAGCAAAAAGAGGAGGATTGGCATGGATGTTAGCTCAGGGCTGATCTTCCTCACAAAGAAAAAAAAAGGAAAATTCTCAGCCTATCCATCTTGAAAGAAATAAGAAAACATGTTGGCCGGGGCTGGCCCTCCCATCACAGGCCGGGAGAGCCAGGGCCTGTGGGCCACCAATGCCACCTCACATTGGGGGCTCCACTCCCCGAATTCCGGCACCCCAATCCTCAGCCACCCCAGGTGTCGTGAATAACATTTGTTCTTTAACAAAAGACATGGGCACTTCCCATTTGTAAACTATCACCTTCCAGAAAAGCAGCTTTTCTGGGCACAGAGGACAATTCCTGTCCCCGCCCCTCCATTTCAGGGAAAGAAACAACTCAAAAAGTACAGGAGGCTGGCCACTTCACCCCTTGGCACGCAAATCCCTTGAATTCATCCCTCCCACCCCCCAGCCCCACCCCTGTGACTTCATTAATATTTGCATGAAATACTAAGACCCTAAACGTAACTGTGCCATGTAATTAGTCAGCTTTACTCAATATCCCCGACTAACCCAGAAACCCAACTCAGCACAAGAGAACTGAGCTCCCCTGTCACTTCATTTCCATCCCTTTCTAAATAAACTTGGCTTTCAGTGAAGGAGAGGAGAAAGGCTAGTTAGTAATAGGGACCAGCCTCTACGTTTGCTTTTTTTTTTAAGGAAAATCTCTACCACAATATATGTCTAGTCCCTCTGGGTCACATTCACATAATATACACTGTCTTCACCTTCCAAAACATTGCAGTTGAAGTCATTTATGAAATATTCTTCCAAACTCCTTTTAATGTTATCAGCCAATCTTTGATTTATAAGACAAAACCCCCCAGAATAAATAAATTGAATCATAGTCAGCAACAGCCATAATGGAGTTTTAAAAATCAAATTACACTTTTCCTCCTTTCAGTTCACTCTTAACTGTATCCATTATAAAGAAAAATAGAATTTAGAAAGGTTAATTTCATAGTGAGTAGAAATGTAATCGGACTTGAAACTCCGTTGCAAATGTGTTTTTCATCCCTATAATAATTATTAACAAATCAATCAACAGCTGAGAAAAGCACTATTATCAAAAACAGCAATATGATTTGATATGCAAAAATTAAATAATAGTTCTCATTTATTACGTGCTTACTACATACTGGGATCCAGGCCAACCCCTTTACCTCCATTTCCTCATTCGATCAATTCTCTGTGGCGGGAACTATGATTATGCCCATTTCTCAGATGGAGGAGCTGAGGCTGTTAGAGCGTTGGTAACTTGGGAGAGGTGAGCAAGTGAGAGACACAGATGCAAACTCAGGTAGCCCGTGTCTCAGATCCAGTAGTTCTATAAATCATCTACAGGTCACCTTGAGAACTTGAAAAATTAAGCAATTGTCCTTTTTTTTTTTTTTTAAAGGACCAAGTTTTTTTTTTTTTAGAGGCTATACTAACATTCAACTTTGTTTTTTATTTTTGCTTTCTGAGGAAGATCGGCCCTGAGCTAACATCTGCCAATCCTCCTCTTTTTGCTGAGGAAGACTGGCCCTGGGCTAACATCTATGCCCATCTTCCTCCACTTTATATGGGACCCCGCCACAGCATGGCTTGACAAGCAGTGCGTCGGTGAGTGCCCGGGATCCGAACCCGCGAACCTTGGGCCGCCACGAACCCAGGGCCGCCGCAGCGGAGCACGCGTGCTTAACCGCTGCGCCACCAGGCCAGCCCATAAAGGACCAAGTTTTGAAATGATTTTTCTTTGAAAGTTTGAGGGGAGGGAATTCTTTGGGGAAAAAATACTGCTTCTGGAAAAAACCTAAAAAGAAAAAAGGGATGGACACACTGACGCTTCCCGAAAATCCATGTCAGATTGCTGTATTTTGATTTTTCTATCACTTTCTTCCATAATTTCCTCAAATTCGCTCTCTGCCCCTCAGCATTTCCTGCAGTTTGAGACGGTAAAGCATTTTCTTCTATGCCTGGGTTTTTGGTCAGGACAACAGCGACCTCCAGTGGGCATTTTCTCAAAACTCCTGTTTTTCCTGCTAATAGCTGATACAGCTGGTAAAAATCCCCATAATCCCAGCTCCCAGCAGCGCAAGAGGCTCCTCAGCCTCCGTGGTAGTCGCCCCAGAAAAAAGGCCAACATTTACACCTCTGTTCCTGGCTGGCGCTGGCCCCTGGCCACTCCAATGTGGTGCAGAGGTCACCAGCAAGGGCATCAACTGCGGAGTGCTGAAATACCCCAGACCCACAGAATCAGGATCCGCACTTGAACAAAATCCCCACGCATGTGATTTACGCACATTAAAGGGTGACAACTCCCTATTTTTATTTACATCTGATAATATGGATGCATAGAATTCCACTACCAGTTTTCAAATTAATCTCCTTATACTGGAAATGCCGAAATCCACCAAATGCTTTTTGTCAGCTATTTTAATTCTCAAGTGATTTTTAATTTATTAATGACATAATTGGGCCACAGTTTTTTCTCCCACAATCACAATATACCCTCCTCCCTAAAAAAGTCCTAAAATGATGCAGAAATTCTGACTCCAGAGGGTATTATTTTTTTCAGTGAAGAAGACTGGCCCTGAGCTAACATCTGTGCCCATCTTCCTCTATCTTGTATGTGGGATGCCACCACAGCATGGCTGATGAGCCACAGCACGGCTTGATGAGCGGTGTGTAGGTCCATGCCTGGGATCTGAACCTGCGAACCCCCAGCTGGCCACTGAAGCGGAGCATGCGAACTTAACTGCTACACCACCGGGCCAGCCCCCAAGGCGTAGTTTTTTTAAAGGTGCTATTACCACAGGATTGGACAGGAAATGTGATCCATGATGTACTGGACATCTTGCATGTAGGCCAGGCCGAACTATATCAGAGACAACAAAAAGTGTGGGTGAAAATGGGCACCCTGGGGGGATACATGACAACACGGCAGGACTTGGGGAGCCCTGCAACCCGGAAACCTCAGCCCAGGAGCTAGACTGGAGGAGGTCCAGCTAACCATAATGATTAGGATCGCAGGCTCTGGGCTCCCACTCAGCTCTTCTTGCCGGCTATGACTTTAAACTGCCTCATCTCTCTGCCTCCATTTCCTCATCTGAAAAATGGGGATGTTACGAGGATTAAATGAGATGCTGCGCATTAAACACTTAGCACATCGATAAGTGTCCAATTTAATGGCAGGAACACATTTCTCCTCTGTGGGCCTCCTCAGTTTCCTCATTCATTCATAAATATTACTGAGCATCTACTATCTGCCAAGCTCCATGCCAGGCACCGGAAATACAATGATAGTTAAAACTCAGTCCCTTTAATTTAAGGACCAACAATTCTGGTGGGGAAACAAAGATGAACAAGCACTACCACACGGAGAAACGTCTAGAGCACAGCCAGATTAGAACCTTCAGAGACCCTAGATGCTAAAAGGCTTATGGCACTTCTCTCTGTAATTTAAAGTAAAAATACCAAAGGTAAAAATGTACTGGGACGCAGAGGTTAAAATAGCATCTTCCTGGATTTTCTGGTGACAAAATTCCAGATAAGTTCCCTGAAGCCAGATGTTTCTCATGTTTTTTTGTGTTTAAGCCTTAATGATTCCTTAAAAAGTGCTTGGCATGACTAGGTCAAAGAAAACTCAGCGTGGAAGTGCTCAGGGGCATCCAATCCTGATTTCGTGTGTCACTGCTTTTGAAGGAAGATAAGGGAATCAGGAAGACAGCTGTTCATCAAGCATAAAACCAGAGGCTGGATCTGATTCTTTCTTTTTTTTTTTTCTTTTGTGAGGATGATCAGCCTTGTGCTAACATCTGCCAATCCTCCTCTTTTTTTTTCTTTTTTTTTTTTTTTTTGCTGAGGAAGACTGGCCCTGGGCTAACATCTGTGCCCCTCTTCCTCCACTTTATATGGGATGCCACCACAGCATGGCTTGACAAGTGGTGTGTCAATGCACGACCGGGATCCTGGGCAGTGAACCCCAGGCTGCGGCAGTGGAGCATGCGCACTTAACTGCTTGCGCCACCAGGCCAGCCCCTGGATCTGATTATTTCTAAGGTCTAGGGCTGTATATACTGTCATTTGCTCACTCACTCATTCATTGTAAACCACTTCACACCACTTAGAGAGAAAGATCAGAAAATGATCTCCCGGAGATGTAGAGGCCAGCTCATGTCCCCAGATAATTCCACTCTCACCATCACAACTTGCCCGAGTTCCTCATGCACTCACAACTCCCGCTGGAGCCTGAAGCTCCAATCACTCCCAGCTACTCCAGCCACCAGAGCCCCGCCAGGCCTGTCAGCCTTGGCACGCGCCATTCCCTCCTGCTTGGTGAGCTCCTATTCATCCTCCAAAACCCAATTTAAGGCTCTTCTTCTCTGCAGTCTTCCTGGAGCCCCCAGGTAAGGTTGTGCCTCACTCCATTGCCTTATTTGGACATCCTTCTATTCTGTGTGTGCTTCATTCAAGCATCAGCTCCAAGGAGTATGTCTGGGGGCTCCGCATCCTCAGTGCCCAGCCAGGGCCCTGCACAGAGCAGGACGAATGGCGACCATTTTACAGATGAGCAAAGCAAGTCTCCTCTAGATAAACTGAGCAGCTCGGGAACAGCCAGGTCTCCCGAGTCACGCAGACTCAGAGCTGAGTCCAGCACTCTGCATCCAGCGCCCCCAGAACCCGCGCCAACTTCTCCCGGGAAAGCGGAAGCCGGGGAACTTGAGTTTTCCGTAGGGAATGAATGGATGGAGAGGGCGGCGTGGAAAGTGCGGGGACGGGGTGGCCGGGGAGAGAAGCAAGATCCCAGCGGTGCAGCTTCAGAGCTCCTCTGCACGGCGTGGCGGCCGGGGATTCCGTGGTCAAGACAACCCCGGGGTGGGGTGGGAGGCTCCACCAGCACCCAACAGAGAGAGCCATTCACGGTCACATACACACTCGCAGAGACAGAGATCCAGAGACGACCAAGGCCAGCCCCTCCCCAAAGCCCACCCGCCGCTGCTTCCTTACCACGGAAAGACGGCCATCTTCCCAGTCACATGACCGCTGGTTCTGCGGCCGCGGGCCCTCTTTTCCCTTCCAGTCCCCGCCCCGCCCCGGCCGCCATGATTGTAAAGGGCGGCCGCCTCCCGGCAGAGAGCTGATTGAGCCGTCCGCCGGCGCCATGATTGTGAGGGGCAAGCCCCCTGCCGCGGAACCCAGGCTGCGCCGTCCGCCAGCGCCATGATTGTGAGGGGCAGCCGGAGGCCCGGGAGGCGTGCCGGAGCGCTTACGTGCGCCGCGATCGTGAAGGGCAGTTGGCCGCCTAGCCTGCCTGCGCCCTGTGGGGGCGGAGAAGAATCCAGACACGGCGGAGCGAAAACGCTAACCGAGGCTGCGGGTGGGAATAGTGTCTCTGGGGTTCCGCGTGCGCGCGGTTTTGCGGCTAATTGGCAGTGGGGCTCGGGTAAGCCACGCCCCTCCCCAGGCCGCCGCTTCCCCCCTGTGCGTCGTGAGGTTGGGCACTTCCGGTGTCCCCCTCCCATGTGTGACAGCCTGGGCCTCTAAGGGCCCTGTAGGGTCCGAGTACGACAGTTTTTAACAGGAACTAAACCAAATGGGGAAATTGGGGGTCGCTTTTCACCCCGCTTGGCAAAGCTGTGAGTTTCTGTGAAGGTGGATATCCGTTTCGACCACAGAACTTATGTGCTCTAGTGTTTTCTCTGCTTTTAAAAAAAAAAAAAGTGAGTCACGGGATATTTTCCTAACCGCTACCATTTACTAAAATCTTACAGTGTGTGTCAGGCACTCTGCCGAGCACTTTGCATTCCCCCTTCATTTACTTCTCACTGCAAACCTCTGAAATGAATACCATTGTCACCTATTACGGAGAAACAAGGTGAATTGCCCAAGGCTAGGAAGTGCCGCAGCCGGGACTTGACCTCCCTCCAAACCAGAGGGACTACTAGTTGAACCCGTATAATGGGGGAGACTGTTGGTCAATCAGGCAGCTCCTGACCCTCGCTTTTTTCCCTTTTCCTTTCCTCTCCTGTCAGAAAGAGCTCTTCAGGAAAAGGCAACAGAATATACTTTCAACCCTCTGATGGAAGATGTAGTTTCAGCACGCTGAGTCCTAGTATCTTCATTTGTGAAATTAGGATAACTGACTTTATGGTGAAGGGAGACGATGAGAAAATCCCTGGCAAAGGGCCAGCACTCAATTGAAGCTGTCCGTCAGTAGACAGGCAATATTGTACCTTCTGTGATCCTGTTTCCAGAGAGCTGCTGTCCCCATGGCAACACACAGTACTTGCGACGTATCGTAAAGCAGTGCTGCTTACGCTGGAATGCGCCCAGACTCACCTGGGGATCTTGTTAAAATGCAGCTTCTGAGTCAGGGCTGGGGCGGGGCCTGGGCTTCTGCATTTGTATCAAGTTCCCAGGTGGCACTGGTCCCTCTGGATACATAAGGGATTGTAGGAATTGTGGGTGGTGCCACGTAACTTAGCAGGCAGTGGAGCAGAGCAGCATGTTGTGCGTGTCAGCATATTCACGCATCCTCACTCATCCATACCCGTTACATATTGGGTAATGGAGGTAATCCTGAAACAGGTTGTTAAAACTTAAGGAAAGTGTGAATGAGGGATTTCCCCCACCAGAGGCTGAGAAGCAAAACCATGGTTCTGGTGGCAACTTTGTCAGTCACCTCAAGAAACTGAAGAATGGTGAGCCAGAGAGAAACCAACCAAAACAGGGAGAGAACAGATTAAATAAATAAATGAGTGAAAAGGTAGTATTTTATTGTCAAGTATAATTTTGGTTAGACACGATTTTTGCCTTCAAAACTGTCTTTAGAACCTGATCAAGGAATGACTCCACTGCACCATATTCCAGTTTGATTTGCTGTATTCAACGACTAAAGGTTCTTCTGTTTTTTAAAATTATTTTTATAACCTATATATGTATGCTCCCAATGGCCCCTTAGATAAAGCATTCCAACTCCATTTGCTTATTTTTTTATAACTATTACGTTTCATAGTAATAGTTTTGGGGGGGATGGTCTGTGGTTGTTCGTGGGACAGTGACACGACGGAAAAAAAACATCATCTCGAGAAGCGGACCTTGTTTTCAGCCCAGTCTGAGGAATGAGGAGTTTCCAGTCATGTCCACTCTTCCCGGCATATGAAATCAACATGCGTTAAAGGGTGGCCATAGGACAAGTGAGGGGCTCTTCCCACACTGCCTGGCAGATTATCACTGCAGTGTCTCCTCAATACGAGGTGACCGTGAGGAGCATTTTACTATCCTCACATTAGAGATTACGCAGTAACGAGAGGGGATTTTTAAAGCTGTGCAAATCAGCAGCTTTGAGCTTCAACCTTAGCATTCTCCCCCATTCGCTCCTCAGCAGGCTTCTAGCTCTTAATAACCTAAGACATACCAGCTCTAGTGAATTTTGCCTTCTGAAAAGTGCAACTCATGCAAAATCAAATGCTAGACTAAGCACTGGTATAGGTTACATATTAAATAGTGGGATATACCTTTCATGGGGCTTTTAACTGTAAAAAATGATATTACAGTAGTAATGTTTCAGCCAGATACCTTTCAATATTTATCCCTTAATGGTCCTTTCTTTGGTAAATAAAAAAGATCAAACTATATTTCCTTTAAGATGAAGAGTTTATTTTGCCTTTTGCCTAGAAGCAAAACTAGTGAAAATTAAAGTATAAAAATAAATACAATTTACATTAATGGACATTCCACTCGAAGTAAAAATAACAAAAATAATGTATATAAATAAAAATCCATTAAAAGCACAAAATAATGTCTGGCACTTTTATGAGAAAAAGCTGTGAACATAAAAAAATGTGTAAAACACACAAGCTTTTATCTTTAAATTAAAAAAAAAAACACTCAAGTTTCTTATCCTTAATGTAAAACTAGTTTTCACTTTTCCCAAAACATACTATTTGTTTTAGCTAATTTGCATTAGTGTACACAAAATTTTTAGCATCTATCTTTCTTACTGGAAAGACCCACAATGATATGAGTAAGGTGTATCCTGAGTTTTCAGAATGATAAAGCACAATTTATCATATTAAGAAGATAATTTGATATACTTTGCCTACAAATAAAAAATTGATAACTCAGACATTTTTGACTGTCTTCTAATTTTCTGGTTCACTCATTCAGTAAATGATACATCTCAATAAAGAAATTCAAGTTTACACCCAGAGTAGATTATTATTTTCTGTCTACAGCTGGATGTAAAAGTTAAAGTTCAAACAGAACATAAAATCAGAGAAAACAATCTTTATCTCCACATTCTTAGAAGGCCATTAAGAATATATATAGTCTGCATTTTCAAAATACCAGTATCTTTTTAAAATTCAAGTTAGAAAGATTAAATGTACACATTTTGATTTTATATGAGAAGCACAAAGCCCTTTTTGGAAATGGTATGATAAATTAACAGTGACATTCTCTTTCATAAAATCATGTTCCCTTGGTAACATTTTTTGGTTTATGTTTTAAATGAATAAGTAAGTTAGTGATGAAAAACCATAAACACTGGTGCCTCTTAAATAATGCAGAATTTCAACTAGACAATATTTCTATCCCATTTGAAAATCTAAATTTATTATTACATTATATAGCCCTTTATTCTCTTCTAAATCAAGCATGCTAGAAAAAGCAGACTATGAAGAAACAAAATATGCAGACTAAATAGAAAATATAACTGCATGCAATGTTAATCTATTTTACAGAAATACATGTCAACGCATTTCTGAGTGCTACTGCATTCAAAAAGATTGTGCTGTCTTCCCCAAATTTGTTAGCTTCCACAGAAAGATTTTATAATTTAGTAGAAATGTTTCTAAGAGTACTGGGGTAACATACATTAAACTAACATACATTAAACTAACATTTCTGTAAGACGTGTTGTTGAGAGGAATGTGGACTTGGGACCCAAGTAGTGACCCCCAGCCACTTCTGTGGTAAATTTTAGGTGGACTACAATCAGCAGGCAAGGGTCTATCCTATAACCCTTATGTTTATACTGTAAGTCCAAGAATATGAAGACTGAGAGATTAATCAGAGTTTTTAAAGTTACAAAATCTGCAATAATGTCCCCTTGAATAGAACAGTATGTAATTTATCAAATTCAGCAATCAGTATGCAGAGATGAATGAAATTTATATTTCAGAACTTCTTTATAATTTATCACACCTTTTCAATATTTTATAGAAATAAACCCAAATATCCTTTACAAAAAGGTTCTTGGCAGACATTTGGGTACAGAAAACAAACTTACGTTTGTACAGGTTAAGCACAGAAATGAGTCAGTTACTAAATACTAATTTGTCTTCACCCAAACCTAATATTAAGAGGAAAATGGGGGTGTGGGGAAGGAATTAGCCAGACTGACCACATTATCCAGATACTTGGCTCAGCCCTTTGATGTCACTTGGCCTGTGTAAAGAGAGTCCAGGGTTAAATAAAAAGTCTTGGGCAGGGAAAATAATATGGATGATAACTCTCCCCCCTTTTTTTATCCTAATGAATGTTGTCTTCTTAAATTGTCGCAACATTTGGCCGCTTTCTTTGGATTTTTCCTGCATATACTCCTAAAAATAGAGCAAAATTATTTCTCAATGTTAGTTTTTCTATAATGATACCATTTAATGAATGCTTACTATGTACCAGGCACAAGCTAAGCAATATACATTATCATGTTTAATCCTTGCAGAAAATAATCCTGAGGTAGAAATTGTTACTACTGTTTGAAGGATAATAAAACTGAGACATAGGAGAGTAAGTCACCTGCCTAAGTAATAGAGCTAGAAGTAGAGACTCTCAGAACCCAATTCCACCTGATTTGTTGTTTTACTTAATCATTTTGCATTACTGTCTCCTACTCTGCTTTAATTAGTGGTTTCTGAATTTCACTATAAACTCTTGAGTCAAGCACAAAACATCAAACAAGCGAATATGTTTTAAAACATGTGAGTCAGAGATTGCAGTTTAGTTTGCAACAACTACGAGCAACTTTAAGTCTCTGCAGAAAACTTTTAACACCTTAGAATTCTACTTCAGTCTAACAGTATGATATTCTATCATCATAACAAAAACCAGTTTTCTATAAATTGCTTAATAAAGGTTTTGTTCTCCATGTAGATCAAATTGAAGCATAATTTCAAATTTGTTTGAAACATAATCCAGGCCATTAAAAATCTAAGCAGGAAAGAGTAATCTTTTCAAGAGCAACTATGGATCCTGTGCTGAGATTCATAGTTAGAATTTTAATCGTCATATCCCAAATTTTCAGTTTATGTAAAAGAATAAAATTCTTTAGTCTTTTTCAATTGTTTAAATATGCACTCATGTATAAATAAATCTTTAGAAAAAACAGGAAAGAATTTTTGTACTTGTTTAGATACATGTTAATTGTACATAATTCAAGGGTCAAGTTCATTTATATTAATAATTATGTTGCTATGCAATTAAACCACAATAGTTCTAAATACTGAACTTCATTGTACATATTAACTGCAATGACTTCCTGTTCATCCTTTATACTGTTGAGTATTACTAAATAGAAACAGTAGTTGCTATTTTGCTTATAGGTTCACAAGTGACAAATAGTGGAGATGAAATGCATGAGAAAAGAACATGGAGAGTAGTCACTGTGGCAAATAGATAATATGAGGCAAAACAACAGTAATTCTTCAACAATTTGCCAACTAGCTAGGATTTATCACAATATGTAACACTAACATGGAAAAACAATTGAAAATGTCTTAAAATTCCACATAACTTCACAAGCAACAGATCTGGTGGTTGGTCTGAGTTCTTCCAAAAGGTTATCTTTCAAATCAGCTGATTCTGACTGCCTCTGGAATAAGCAGGATCTTCAACTATGTCATTCTCTTTAATGTTCCCTTTCAACTCCACTGACTGCCACTCACAGTGACTTCCAAAAGATGCCCTTTGCAATTATCTTCTATATATGCGACATTATGAATTTAAACTCACTACCTACATGCAAAAGGTAACAGTCATTTCAGTTATGATCAATATCTTGTTCCCTCTTTGAACTAATGTGAACAAATGGCAATAACATGAAAACATTTCTTAAGTTGCTTGTTCCCTCCTAATTTGGAGGCAATCACTTAGTAATAAAAGCTCTAAAATGTGCCTAATTGTATATTAATGGGAAGATTAGAATTGATTAAAGATTTAATCTTCATTGCCTGGTGATTAATTTAGGTTTCTTTTAAATGTTTAGAAAGCAATATAGTTAAAGGAAAGCATTTTGAAAGTATTTTCAATATATCACATAATTTTTGATGAGCTTAACAAAGTGTCTTAACAAAGATACCTAAAAAACATTAAAACATTAGCTTAAGAGTTTTGCATTAGCTAAACAGTGAATTTGTCTTCTTGCCACCACAAATAGAATTTAAAATTCCATTTTTAGTTTAGCCCTTAAATAATCCTCAGTGAACGTAAAGAGAAATTTAGCTCAAGCTTCTTATTGTGTAAAAAATTAAGAAAAAATAAATAAAACTAACCCCCTCCCACCTGGCATATTCACATGTGACCTTGTGGTTAGATGGAGAAATTTTTCAACCCCTTATGTACAGATACAAATATTCCCCAAAGCTGAACAGAGATGCATAGATTTAGGCATCAGATCACTATTATATTTTACTCCTTTATAAGAAGGTTTCTGAATTAAGCAAGTATAATTCTACAAATTTTTCAGATTAAAAAATATTGTGTTTCCATGGAATTATTACAGAAATCAACATTGGAAACACAGTTTTACTAAGATCTCCTGACTGCTACAAAATACTAACACAAATGATCACTAGTAGGAATGACTGTGAATATGCCAAAATCATGGTGGCATGGAAGACAATATCTCCCACTTGTGTGGCCTGGTTATGGGGAAGCTTGTGCACTTCTATCAAATGGGCTTCAGGGACTCACTTGCTACACACCTGAAACAGGCGCTCTGCTAGGCACTCTGCTCTGTGAAGACTTCTGTCTATTTTGCACAACCCCCTTCACTGATGTCTTAGGGGTTCTAATTGAATATAAAAAAATTAATAAGTCACTTGCATTAAGGTCTAAATGTTCAACATTCAAAGAAAGCAACCATACTGCATCAACTGTTCAAAGCACAAAGCAGCTTGAAAAGCATTTCAGACTCATGCGTGCACCCAGTAAGGAATCTGTACTTTTGCTTCAGCAGGAGACTATAACCATAGTTTACACCTTGTTGGAGAATCACTTTGGTGATGCTAAACTTACTACATGGATGTTTACAATATTTAATGAGCAAAATGGTATGAAATGAAAAGAAAAAACATGCCAACATAAGATGATAATTAAAATATAATACACAACAGTACACCAGAGTTATCTTTGAATACAAAACTTTAAAAGATCTTCCTGGGATCAGCCTTGTGGCATAGTGGTTAGGTCCAGTGCACTCCACTTCAGCAGCCCAGGTTTGCAGGTTCGGATCCCGGGCGCGGACCTACACCAATAGTCAAGCCACGCTGTGGTGGTGACCCACATACAAAATAGAGGAAGATTGGCACAGGTGTTAGCTCAGAGCTAATCTTCCTCAAGTGAAAAAAAAAAAAAGAGGAAGATTGGCAACAGATGTTAGCTCACAGGGAATCTTCCTTCCCCCCCCCCCAAAAAAAAGATCTTCCTAATGCTATAAAAAATATATTTTGGGGCTGGCCCAGTAGTGTAATGGTTAAGTTCATGCACTTCGTGTCAGTGGCTTGGGGTTTGCCAGTTCAGATCCTGGGCACAGACCTACTGACTGCTTATCAAGCCAAGCTGAGGTGGCATCCCACATACAGAAACTAGACGGACCTACAACTATGATATACAACTATGTACCGGGGCTTTGGAGAGAAAAAAGAAAAAGAGGAAGATTGGCAACAGATGTTAGCTCAGGGCCAATCTTCCAAAAAAAAAAAATTTTAAATATCACATTTGAAAAATAGTTATCCCTTATGTAAAGAGCACTAAATTATTTTTCCCTCTCAAAGCTCATCTTGATTTGAATAGTTTTAAATACCCGTGTGTGTTGCGTTCTTACCCTTGCCTACTAAGTAGCCTATGAACAGGTGCATTCTGTCCTTGGTTTGGCTGAAGGATTCTGTTGACAAAGTAAATAAAAAATTAATTCAATAGGATAAATTCAATTTTCCCCCCATTTTCTTTCAATAGATGAAAGATGATAACAGTGAGGTGGAAGTTATCCATGCAATGATGCGACAGATATAATATCACAAAGCAAAGCAAACTGATTAAAGCATATTAATGTGGTACTTATATTTTGCTTATCAAGAGCCCAAACCTTAGGTTATCAGGAAAGAGATGTCCAACATAAGTTTTAATCCTTGTGCTTTTAGGTAATTTATTTGTATACTTTACAAAAACCAGCTTTTCCTTTCAAACATCTGAGAGAAGAAACATCACTCTTCTAAGAGTAGAAAACAGAGATAGTCAGAAATATTAAGCTAGCTTTCTAAGGTTTTTAAATAAGTCTCAAAGACCCCCTGGACTGTGGACTGAACTCAGGACATATGGCAAATTTGCACCAGAGAGAGCATGTCCTACAGAAAGCTCCGGGGACATCTGGTCTGACACGTGAACAGGTGCATGACCCGGTGTTAATACGGATCCTGTCCCTTCGAGCCTCCAACTCAGCAGGGAGTGTTCACTGATGTAATACAGAACAAAGCCAACGAGAAGTAGTCTCGGGCTTTATAAAATTTTCTTTTCTTTAAAAACAAAAAGATAGCCTCTCATTGAGACTAAGTGATTTTTCTCACCTTGTTTCAGAAGGATTTTGTTTAACCAGAAATCTCTTATTTGGCATTCCCATTTCAGCAGCTCTAACACAATATAAAAAGAAGGACACACAAACAAGGTATTTAGAAACGGGAAAGAAAACATGCACATAAATGCAATACAGGATGACAGAAACACATCATCATTGAAACGCTGGGGTACTACTGAGAGACCTGTGCTAAGCATTCTAAAGACTACTTTCGAGAAAGAAGAGTTTTAATGAGATAGTTACTAGGATATTCTTTGCATTAAGTTTTTCCTCCCAAGAAGTCTTTAGGATATTAGAAAAAAGACATATTTAAAAGATATAAAGATTCACTATTTTTAAGACTGATTGGCTACTATACAAGTTGAACATTGTCAAATTTATTAGTTAATACATTTATCTAAAGATGAAATCAGATTTTACCACCTGATTTTACTAAAACTCTTTATATAAAAAGAGATTTCTATCAGCTCAGCTGCAGAAAAGTTAACTGTTCTTTATTTCTAATTAGAATATACAAACAGACCAACAGATGACTAAAATTAATTGGTTTAATAATAATTAATATTAAATTAAATACACATGACACAAAAAAACTTACTTCATGTACTTCTTCCTATCAAGAGACTTCTGTGTTGCAGCTGAAAGAGCCACTCGTGGACTTTTCATTTTATCCTTTAAAATACAAAAGTAACATAAAGCTCTAGTGGTACCAGTAATACCACTAAATTATAGCATAGGATGATCTCAGATTGCATGGAAAAGCTTCTCTTACTAGCATTTTGAATTTTAACTTAGGCTTTATAATTGAAGCAGTCTGATTTTTAAACATTAATTAAAATTGTTTTTTCCAATGAAATAATATAAATTTGGCTTGTTTTTCTTTTGCCAACCACAACTAAGATCTTTGATTCAAACCACAGGTCTCCAACACTATGATATATTTCAAATTAATTTGGAGCCTGTTTTCTAACTCTGATTTCCAAAAAAGACAAAATCCACACGATAGTTTCCAGGACACTCAATCAGGAGTTGCTGATAGTTTTTTATAAGCCATCCAAGCAACATTCAAAGCGTCAACTCCAAAATCAGTCACAAAACAATATGTAATTCTTTCATCAATTTCTTTTAAATCTGTCTACAGATTTAAATGTTGCTGGTAATCCTGGGAATTACTTGTGCTTAGAACTGTAGGAAGGGTGCTATAATCAATAAAGAATGATATTTACTATCAATTACCCCAAATTCAGAAAAACCTCATTTTGAAATAATAAGAAATATATATATTGGTCTCTGCCTCCGGTTCCTAATAACATATGGTCTTTGACACTGGTTCCTAACACAGAGCTCCTAAAACCTTTGTAATCTCCTGAGTGTAGGGTGCCAGGAACATCTTTTGTTCTAATATTTGGTCTTTGACAGAGTTCCTAAATCCCTTGGAATTTCCTGGGTGATAGGAGCATCTTTTGTTCTAATGAGGCAACTTCTGGTGGGCTCCCAGATGGGTACTGTTCACCAGAAAGGCTGAGCATGGTTAGAAACTTGGAACTTTCAGCCTCAGCCCTTATCCTCCAGGGGCAGGAGAGGGGCTAGAGACTGAGTTAATAATCGATCATGCCCACGTGATGAAGCCTCCACAATAATCCTTAAGTATGGGCTTCAGGGAGCCTCCAGGTTAGTGAACACAACCATGTATCAGGAAGGTGGCCCTCCCCAACTCCATGGGGACAGAAGCTCCTGCCCTCGGGACCCTCGCCCTATGCATCTCTTCATCTGGCTGTCCATCGGTATCCTTTGTTATATTCTTTATTATACAATAAACTAGTAAATGTTAAGTGTTTCCCTGAGTTCTGTGGGCCATCCTACAAAAGTATCCAGCACAAGGAGAGGGTCATGGGAACACAGATATATAGCCAGTCTGTCAGAAGTAAAGGTGACAACCTGGGACTTGCAATTGGTGTCTGAAGTAGGGCCAGTCTTGTGGGACTGCTTCAACTTGTAGAATCTGACACTGACTCTAGATAGATAGTATCAGAACCAAACTGAATTGTAGGACACCCAGCTGATGTGGGAGTATTGGTCGGTGTGGGAAAAAAACCACTCATGGTGTCGGAAGCATTTTGTGAGCGTAGAAGAAATAGAGTTTTTCTTTTTCACTCACTCATTTAAAAATCACAGAACATACCATTTGCCTGAGCATTTTCTCTTTGCGAACTTCTCGATCATGATGTAGAATAGACATCCTTTCAGCCGCATCCATTACAAAGAATATGTCATGAATACCATACAGGGCAGCTCGCAACTAGGTTCAAAAGAAGAAAATATTGCCCCCATTTAAAAAGATGAGGTTAGAGTTCAGTAATATTATGTACACTTTTATTTGGAGAAAAAGGTTAAAGTTTCAATTGAAACCTATTTTCAGGGGTTAAAACATTTCCATTTCCTAAAAGCCCTCAGGACGTGCGCATTTACCTGAGCTAACACTCTTTCCTGAAGAGAAGCATCTTGTGCTGAAACAACTCCTCTCTTTAATGGTGCTTCTGACTGGAAACTTCTTATGAATTCCATAGTATCCTGAAAGAAGAAAGGCTCCTTCAAAAACCATTTTTCTAGAAAGATTCATGATCACTGGAGTTTCCTTTGTTCTTTTTTCTCAGTCATTCCAAAATTACTAAGAACACAAAACTATTACCTATCAGAAGTCAAATAGCACTCACTTTAAAGGGAGACAAAAATATACAAACAAGTTCATTTACATATTTTTAAAACTATCTGAATGAGCTTCATAATCAGATTTCTAAAATTACCTAAATTACAGTGACCAAAAAATGTTTGATCTGCCTAAATTCTGAACTTGTCAACTCAGCTGTCACAAGACTGACAGAAACTGAGACAGAAGTGAAACACAAAGATTTACAACAATCTCCTTACTTTTACAGTTTGTCGGAGTTGCTTCAGCTTATCTGTCTGCATGAGCCGACGAGTAAGAAATCCTTTTGCCACCGCAGTGATTTTGTTACACTTTGCTTGTACTTCTGGACTGAAACCCTAAAAGAAATAAGACAGACACAATCTTAAGAATCTGAGCATTATACTCAAGATTCTTTTTCTTAATCTATTACAATGAACCCAATTCTTCTATAGATGTATGCTCTGTATAGTTTCATCTGTAATAAAAGCTAAGCTATTTGATGTATGCAGAAATATTCATGCTCATCTATACAACTTAATATAGCTCTTTAAAAAATTAGATAGATAGACAGAAGACAGACAGACAGACATACAGCATAAAGTTTGCCCACCTGAGACCATTTGGGTTTGGCCCTTCCAAAAGGCCTTGTTACTGAGAGTTTGGTCAAGCCACTTGTTGACGACCCCCAGAGGTAGAATGGTGCTTCACTTGCAGAACCGAAGCTGTGTTGTAGGGCAGAATTTGTGAAACCTAGAGAAATACACATATAGCATTATACTTGATGTCAAATAATCAGAATATGCAGAACACCCAAATAAACGCTTATGCCACTCATTAAGAATAACAACTGCCTCTGCAAGTGATCCACATGAAGACTTAAAATATGGATGGGCTTTAAGCTTATGCACCAGATGGATCTTTTCAACACAAACAGCATCTCAGGATAATTGAAGATGTGAAGATAAGCCCTTACTGGGACTGGGGAATTAGATGTAATTCAAGATCACCTGGGAGGTAGCAAACCGGGTTTTCACTTGATGCATATCACCTGCTGCATGAATGAATAGAGACTGGGCTCTGAGTCCAATTTCCCGATATTTTCCTTGCTAAGGTGCTTTTCTCTGGAACACCTGCTCACCGGTCTGTGCTCTGTTGCTATCATTTCATTTTTCACTAGTTAATAAGCAGCCGGCAAATAGCAGTGGGTTGGACATGGATTACTTGAAGAGGCTACAATTTTAAAGTATGCCAAATAAGATATCTTACCATAGGATAATTTTTTCAAATGGAAAATGATTTTTAAATATTTACCAGAACTATTTGAATTTGAAGTATGAAGTGAGTCCACTTGAGACAGCATTGTTTCTAGCAAACCAGAGTCATTTATTTTTCTCCATTCTAACTCCACCGCATTGTTAATGTCCAGTTCAGAAGCTTCTGCTGTAATCACCTTCTTCTCTTTTAACATTTTCTCCTGTTCTTCTATTTCCTGTAGATTAACAGTTTATGATAACATGCTAGATCTTTCAATTATATCCCAAAATAGTATCATTTTAGGCTTAGCTAAAAGTCTGTGTAATTATCAGCAAATTATTACTTCAATTTTTCCTCTCTCAAATAAAATTGACTAATTTATTTTAAAATGTAAAATACTAAGTATAATAATCTTAGAACAAGTGTCCTTCTTCTTATGATATACTCTTGCAGAATGTATATTTCAGCATCTATTTATAAAATACCTTTTAAAAATATTAAAAGTTTGGAATCAAGGATTCAATAAAGATTCTCTTGATAAATTATGCATTTATTTTTAGATAGGGATCTAAATATTAAACCTCACATTCTGGCAATAAAAATACGATCCATATATCAAAATCAACAAGCCTCTTAGATTAAAACATACAGGGGTAAAAATTACAAGTATCATATACATGACCAAAAGTTAGAGGTATCTGCAGCTAAATTCCACTTACCAGCCCTATATGCCCACATTAATATTCCTCACCTTTTGCAATCTTTCCTGTTCTCTTTCCTGCTCAGCTATGAGTAACGATAACTGCTGGGCATGCTGTTCTTCTAGTCTCTTCCGCATTTCTTCAAAAGCTAACATCTTGCTTTTTAATATCTCCTCGCCTTCTGCAAAGAAACATGCACCCTCAAATTTAGAAAATTTACTACAAGCCTAATATCTGATGTTTTATACCATCAATTTAAATTATGCTTCTGACCAGAGAGTATTCCTGGATCTGACATAATACAATCAAAACATAGGCAGGTTCCCACTCTGAACCACATTCCCCTTTGCTATTCCTCTTATTTCATGCTACCAAATAAAGGCCTGTATCTTACCACCCTTACCCACTCATTCAGTGGATCCCATCGTGATCTGAACTGACGGAGCCAAGACTATATGTTCTGTCAAGACTCGCCTTACTCCACTCAACTTCAAGACCTGGTCCTCATCTGCATCTCACCTCTATTCATTCTTTTGACTCTCGTCCTTCTCCAGGATCTCTGTTATTATAGCTTGTAGTTTTGCTTTGTTTTGATTTTTAAATAAATGTTCTTTTGATAGTGTAAAGCTTCTCAGCTTGAGGTTCCAAAAAAGACTGGATATTAAAATTACAGATATTTTAATTACTAACTAAAAAATTTATTAAATCATTATGACTTTGCAACTTACTGAATAAAAACTGGTGAGACACTTTGAAATGTTGAAATACCAAGAAACACACAGATGTAGCACATATATATTTATGGATCCATTATAATTCAACTAAATTCAAGGAATCATTCTTTCCAAATATACAGTTAATGATTTTTTTTTTTTTTGGTGAGCAAGATGTCCCTGAGCTAACATTTATGCCAATTTTCCTCTATTTTGTATATGGAAGACCGCCACAGCATGGCTTGATGAACAGGGTGTAGGTCCGTGCCCAGGATCTGAACCTGAGAACCTTGGGTTCACTTCGGGCCACCGAAGTGGAGCACATAAACTTAACCATTACACCACTGGGCCAGCCCCTACAGTTAGTGATTTTCATTGAAGAGAAGTATATTATATTTGTCCTACTGCCATGGTATTCCCATAATTTGTTCCTAAGTACATTTTGTTCAGCTACAACAATCTGCATTTGTTCCTGAGCAAGTTTTTATAGGCAAAGGGGGCTGGAAAAGCAGGAGTAGAATTATAACCTTCAGCAAGAAAGGGAAAAGCCCCTTGGCTCAACCACTCACCGACAGCAGGAGTCTATTCAGCTCTGTCTTAAGAAATTTATAAATGAGCGCCTGTCCAGGGCCTCCCTCCCTAGAGAGGCGCCCCCAACTACCGGCTGCTCTCAGCACAGTGCACTGCCTCCCTTGCCCACTTGGACAGCAACCTGGCAGCCTCCATGACTGGCCCCATCTCACATGCACTGGCCTTGCTCTTATTAAGACACTGCAAGAATTGCTACTTGGTTGGTTTTGTGTACTTCTGGTCTTCACTGAGACAGCCTGTAGCCAACACTATGTCATCTACTTAGAGAATGCAAGTTGGCTCCCAAAGTGTCAACTGTTGTTTTTATTAGAGTTCTTATAAAGTTGCACAGGTTTTAAACAGTCTGCCTTGGGCCGGCCCTGTGGCTTAGCGGTTAAGTGCGCACGCTCCGCTGCTGGCGGCCCGGGTTCGATCCCGGGCGCGCACTGACGTCACCACTTCTCCGGCCATGCTGAGGCTGCGTCCCACATACAGCAACTAGAAGGATGTGCAGCTATGACATACAACTATCTACTGGGGCTTTGGGGGAAAAATGAATAAATAAATAAAATTAAACAGTCTGCCTCAACCATATTATTCCTATAAACCCTGTTATTTTTAGTGAGCAATTTTACAGAATGTGAAGTTTTTTTCAGGAAGATATATATCACATTAGAGCTCAAATGTCTATGTCTAAGAACTTAATTGACTTGATTTATATGTCTTCCATATCAGTAATGAAGAATTATGAACCAAACAACAAAGTAAGGAGTAATGAAGAAGAAAGACATGTTTTAGCTGTTAATGTAACACCAGAAGCAACAGAAAGAAATTTGAGATAATTTATATCAATAAAGACACTATTCTTGAAACACTACTCACAGAGCCTTATTTGTGATATTTTCTCTAATAATTTGATGTTAAAGTGTTTACTGAAGAGCCAACTACATGAAGATCTCATTATAAATGAAAGGACAAACTGACGAACTATCAGAAACCATAGTCCAAAGGGAAGACATCATACAATACACTGGGTTAAAGCTGTGAGTAATGTTTCATCCAAGACCTTTTTCCTCCAGTCATTAACAGTATTCTCTGTAATGCCAAGAGGACTGTGAAAGATTCATAACCTATACGAGAAAATCCTTTAAGAAAGCCTATCAAATGTCAACAAACTGTAGCTAATTAGATGCTCCCTGATAAAATAAACGAAATTAAATACCCTGATGAACAGATGAAAATTATTTTGCAAACTACCAATTAAAAGTATTAAATAAAGGTGTGATCTGCTTGGCAGGTATCAAATACTTCGAAGTTTCCTTACCTTTGAAACTCCTTTCTAACATTTTATTCTTGTTGATGTAGACAGACCCCTTAGGGAATCTTTTTTCTGGCAAATGTTGCTTTTCCTGTTCAGCTATTCCAGTTGTTATGACGTAAGGGCAGTTTTCTTTTTGCAAACTATCAACATCTAAATCAAGTCTCCGTTTAACTTTCTCAAAACTGTTATCCAAAAATGATTCATTTCCACAGGATGGCATCGGGGTGTCCATCTGCTGTCTGGGATTCTGGTTTTGCATCAGTAAAGGCGATGGGTTTTTTACATCATAAGACTTATTCAGTTCCATTTGTAAATTGCAGGAGCTTTTCGCTAACACACTGGCTGATTTGAGCCCACTTACGTTTCCAAAGTTTGGACTCACTGGACACTGACTGGCACATGGCTCGTGCAATCTTGGCATTGCACTACAAGTACTGTCCATTTTGTGGGGTCCTCCCCCATCCGATGTTAACTGACCTTCCACGACAGCAAGTCCATGAATGACTTTATTTTCTAGTTGATTTCCTGAAGACTGACATACCCGATTTGGTTTACCTAAAACCATTTCCTGGATGGCTTCTGATGTATTTTTGCTGACATAAACCTTGCTTGAGCACACTCCTGCTAAATCGATTGGTAACTTTGGCACAGTTTCGGGTACGTTTGTTTTTTCATCAGGAGCTTGAATGACTAAGTCTACTGCCTGTTCTTTTCCTTTAGGACTTAACTCACAGGCATTTACTGGGTTATTTATGAGTATGTGACATGCTGACGATGGTCTAGAACGCCTTCGATGCATTTTAGGACTCAGGCTTGGCTCTGGACTAGGTAATTTGGCATACGAACCAGTAAGACTTTTGATAACATTATTTTCAGTAACAAAAGTGGGAATGACTTTGAAATCAGAATCAGGATCTAAAACAGTGGGATGGCCAGTTCGGATAGGTATATCCACTTTAGAAAAGCTACCTAAAGCTGACGTACTCATGCTGCTTGCTTGAGTGGAAGCACCTTGGAGAAGAACATTTGATTTATTAAGGCTTGGTTTGTCAGGAATAACTGAACCACAGTGTTTGCCTAGCAGCTGGGCATTGTCCTTTACACTGTCAGTCACTCTGACAGCATCATTTTCTTTGTCTGAATGACTCTCGTTAACACTCCTCTTTGCATTACTTCTCAGACTGCGTATAGATTGTTCTCTTTCTATATATTCCTTTGACTTTTTCATCAGGTTCTGAAGACTCATTATGTAGGGATCTGGAGTAACTTCTTCCAAAAGTGATGGATCCTGTTCTTCATTTGTTGGGAAGAGACCATCAGAAATAAGAGTCTCTTGTAGGGTTGCTGAGGAGGTCTTTAGAGAAGCTTCGTTTTCTGTGCAGCTAATATTTGAACTATTGCATTGCTTCAGAGAAGTAAATTCTCCTGAGTCCCTAGCTAAGTCTATCCCATTAGATTTAAATTGGTCTTCATTATTCAGTGGCAAAATTCCAGTTATCTTTTCAAATTTTGCTAAAGCAGAGTGTTCAGTAGGGCTTGGCAAGATAGTTGGAAATGTAGCAGGAACACTCAAGTTTCTGACTTCTGAATTACAGTAAACTGTTTCAGTGTCCCACTGATCAAAATCACTCACATTAGGTGCTTTTCTAACCTGAAAAAGGAAATTAAAAATTAATATTTCCTCACGGCACAAAAAGCCTTTGATTTCATTGTTTGCTGAAATAAAAATGAAATTGAAGATTCAGAGTTCTAATATTTGAAAATATAAACAAATAAAAACTCAGATGACCTTTTTCTGTGGTAGTCTATATCACACGGAGCTCAAATTACTGCAAAAAACATCTATTGGTCATCCAGGCCTATTTAATAACAGATTAAAAGAAAAAAAGGAAATTATCTCATCTGATACAATTATGAACATATATATGTACATGTGTATACACACACATATATATCCAGATATCCATGTGCAATCTTGGAATAGAAACATTCTCCTTAACTTTCTTCTGGTTATATGTTATTAATGTCACCAACTGTTCCTCCTATGAGAGCTATCATTTAAGGATAACAATGTATAAGATAAATAGCAAATAATTAAATTTCTTGCATAAATGATTCCCTCTTGAACAAAGACAAACTTGCCCAGGATATTGATTAAGCAAAAATAATTTAGTAATAAGACTCCTGCCTCCCACATGCTTAATCCAAATTTTAACTAAAATCCTTCTGTATGATGAGGCAAATTTGTAGTAAATGATAGCTCAGCCATGTAGCTTAAATTACTTAAAAATAAGAAAAATTTCAACTTAAAACCCAATTCATTAAAGCAAATTTCAATCTGATTAACTAATGGTCATTTAAAATAGCAATCTGTTAATGAGTTTCAGAACAAGCAAAGTAAGTAAAAAATGTGATTTATTAAGATGAGAACAATTGTATACACAAGAGATCCAACGGAAAAAAATTAGAATTATATTTTGTATCTAAATAATTCAACTTTGCAAAAGAATAAAAAGTGAACTAGGACGGTTTCTAAAGATTATACAAGCATATATTAAACTGGCAGAAATCATCATCATATGAATATAGACTCTAGGATCCTGAATATTAAAATAGTTTTAGGTTGTTTTGTATGTGTTTTTTCCCCAGACCACATGGTACTGCTGTTTTACCTTACAAATCCCAAGCCATGTAATGGTTTCCAGGTACTAAGCAACAAACAGTACAACAAGGTGTACTTCAGTCCCAGCCTCAGGACCAAAATAAAACAGAAGGGATACAGAATTATGAAATCCATGAACATGTTTGTGGGGTTAAGTAAAATAAACGATTTCCTTACAATATCTCACATTTCACATTTGTGATATTCAGCAGCTATGTTTTTGTACACCACTAAAATGAGCCTTTGGTTAGACGATTTAAATAACAACAACAAAAAACTATCACAGACTCCTAGGTTTCACAGGTGAAACAGACCTTAGAAATCTACTTGTATTACATAAAATTTCTCTATCTGCATAATTAATTCAATACAGTTCAACAATGTACATGCTCTATTAAACAGAGAAAGTTTTAAGACTCACCAATAATATCACTAGTAGTATATTTGATATATTCCCTCAATGACCAAGAATGATATGCCATTTTTGTTTCAGTAATAGGAAATATCTAGTAAATCAAAAACCCACTCTTTTTGGGTGGGTTTGATTTTGGGTATTGGGTTGGGCTACACATATTTTTTAAATTTAATATGAGCAGTAATTATAATCTGCAAGTTAAAATCTACTCCCCACAGGGAAATGAAGGTAGCAGTTAGTGGACAAGATCCTAAGGTTCACTGTACATGTGTCATCTAGTATGAATTACACAAACTGCAAACCTGTAAGATTAAGAAAAAATAAAAAGAAGTAACCTGCAAAACAGTGCTATTTATGGCAGAAATTATTTGCTCAATCTCATTAACATTTTTTTCTTTTTAGTGTGAAATGATCCAGACCTTAAAACAAATTGTTTCTACAAATTTAAATTAAGCTAAATAAAAATTATTGCAAAAGGTATGGATGTGTTGTTTAAATGGCTTCAATTTGGATCTATGATGCATCTAGGCAATGCTATTTATCTAATCTAAAGTGCATTTGTGAATCTAAGAGCAGAATTCCTACCAAAAAAACCTGGGGGCAGTTATTTACTTTAGCAGAGAAGAAGAATAAGGTCATTGAGTCAACAGTCTGATTAGTTCAGAGGTAAACTACAACGGCCAATTCTATCATTTTGTCACTGAGAAGTCAGTGTTTTTAGAGTCATAAGACACAGACAATAAACGGTTATATTCAGTGTACGGCTCCATTGTCTAAGTACCCTCTGACTCAAGTACTGGGCATCACTACCAAGCGAGTGAATTTTCTTTGGAGTAACTGAAATGGAATATCACAAATTACAAAACTTCTCAAACATAACAGTAAAGTGCATTGGTGATTACCCAGTAAGTGCAAATATATTTCTGAAAAATTACCATCAATGCTTACCTCATGATTTCTTAATTATAACTTAAAAGAGCTTAAATTACACACCTGAACATTTTCAAGAATCTCCTGGACACGAGTCAATAAAGCTTTCTTCCTATTAACCTGCTTTCTCGCTTCTACATCAAGTGCTTTCTGCTTTTCTTGTTGCATTTCCTTTCTTTTCTCAACGTTAAGCTGCAAAACATCATAAATACGTAATTATTTCTCAGAAATGTAAAAATATCATAAAATCAGGAAATTTTGAATCAGAATGATTAAAAACATGTACAACAGGTACAACTATCCGTAATGAAAGAAATCCGAACAGTGGTTGGGAGTAATGACCGGGATGGGGCATGCGAGATCCTTCTTCGGTGATGAAGATGTTCTGTGTGGGTGTGAGTTACACAAGTGTGTGCCATATATCAAAGCTCATGGAACTTTAATACTTAAGATCTGTACATTTTACTATATGTAAATTACTCTCAATTTGAAAATAAAAGTTAAAGGAAAAAAAAAACCTGTTCATGTACCAAATGCTCTAAAATGAGAGATAAAATTAGCTCTTTGACACTGCTGGCTTTTCATTTGGCAATATCTTACTTCATTGGGTCAGTTAGATTTTTCAACTTGAATCTTCTAATCAGTATACATTTTACCTCTTTGCTACCTCAAGATAATGTCCAAAGGTTTAATGAGAAAAGGAACAGATAATGTTTTATTTGCCTACAAAATCAGAACACATTCATTGTACTCTCCAATAAAAATATAATGTACCTAAAAAACTGGAGACTTCTAAGCATTATATCTTTTTATAATGGATTTATTTTTTTTTTATGAGGAAGATCAGCCCTGAGCTAACATCTGTGCTAATCCTCCTCTTTTTGCTGAGGAAGACCAGCTCTGAGCTAACATCTATTGCCAATCCTCCTCCTTTTTTTTCTTCCCCAAAGCCCCAGTAGATAGTTGTAGGTCATAGTTGCACATCCTTCTAGTTGCTGTATGTGGGACGCGGCCTCAGCATGGCTGGAGAAGCAGTGCGTGGGTGCGTGCCAGGGATCTGAACCCAGGCTGCCAGTAGCGGAGCATGCGCACTTAACCACTAAGCAACGGGGGCCAGCCCCTATAATGGATTTAAATGTTAATTATTAAGTCCTGGAAAGTTTAGTCACTGTGAGAAAGAGCCAAGACGTATTTTAGGCTTACACAAATGGAAAACATATAAAAAATCATTCCCAAGTTATAATATTCATCTATCAAATACAACATAAAAACATGGATTAAGGTCCATAAAGATCAGATTTTTCTTATAAACAAATAACTGATGGAGTCATAGACCCTAAACAACAAGGATCAGACATTTTGATCCATATTAAACTAATCAAGCATATGTCATCAAGCAGCTGATAAAGATGTTGTTTTAAAATTTTTTTCTTATTTGCATGGTACCAAAGAATTATGCCACAGTTTACTTGCTAATCAAAAAGGGGAAAATGTATACCTTTAAAGAGTCATTTGGCAGTCTCTACTGTAAAAGCAACTGTTCAAACTAAACATCACTAACACAGGGACAACTAGACACTATAACTTCTAATTTAATTTAATATGAAGTACCTGGCATCATCTCCAAAGAATTCTTGCCAAAAATGTTTAACCTGTCTCTCATCAACTTTTAGACTTAATTTCTAGTTTGTAGGAAGTATAGGGACTAGAGGACAAGTTAAATATCACTATGAGGAAATAATTAGACAAATCCAAAATGTAAAGCATTCTACAAGATAACTGGTCCAGTCTTTTTAAAGATTTACTATGATAAAAAAAAATTTTTTTAAGAGGTACAGGAACTGTTCCAGATCAAAAGAAATTAAAAGAACATAACAAGCAAATGCTATTTGTGAACTTTGACTGGATCCAGATTAGAAAAAAAGTTATAAAAGACATTTTGAGCACAAACGAAGAAATTTGAATATGAACAGAATATTAGATGCTATTAAAATTATTATTAATTTTCTTAAGGTGTGATAATGGTATGGGGTTTATGTAGGAGAATATCCTTATTTTTAGACTATGTATACCAAAATATTTAGAGGAGACGTGCCATGTATGTGCAATTTTCAAATGGCTCAGCAATAAAACAAAAAAGTATGTACATATACACACACACATATATAAAAAATCACAAACATGATAAAGCAAAGATGGCAAAATAGTAAAAATTGTTTAATCCAGATGATAGATACATGGGTGGTCATTGTACTATCCTTTCAACTTTTCTGTATATTTGGAAATTTCATTAGAAAAAGTTAGCAGAAAATATTGATCTTTTAACTCTGGTTATACAAAAAAAAAAATAAATTTAAAACTCACTTTCTTTTAATAATATTAATTTTCTTATTTGAAATTAAGTTATATACATTTAAAAAATATTCAATCAGTATCAAAGGGTATATGATGAAAAGTGTGTCTTCCCTCCCATCCTATATTCCCTCACCCCTCCCCAGAGAAAGAATATAATATGCTTATTGAAAACCCAAAGAGTTAACGTATATTGAATACCTCCTATGATCCAGGTAGTGTTCTAAGCATTTACATTTAGTAGTTCATTTAATCCTCAAAACAGCCCTATGAGGTAGGCATTATTTTCATCCTCTCTTAACAAAGAAAGAAAATTGACCTGCAAATTCACAGACCAGGAAAGTGGCAGAACAGTGATCTGAACCCAGGCCAGCAGTGTCCAGCCGGGCTTCTAACCACTACTCCACGCGGCCTCTGAGAGCATGCTGTGCGCAGGGATTACTGTGGCTTGTGGCGATTTAGATCTACCATACTCATTTTAACAGCATGTATGAAAGGCTATAAAATGGACCAGTTAGTTAAACTAGCCTACTATCGCTGGACAGTCAGGTTGTTCGTCAATCTTTTGCTATTTTAACCAATGCTACTGTAACCTTGTACATATTTCTTCAAGAATACAGACGAGCATAATTGTAAGATATTCCCAAAAATGGAATTGCTGAGGCAAAGGTTTTGTACACTTCTAAATTCTGATAAACATTACCAAATTGCTCACCAAAAAATAAAATCTCAGCAAAAGTCCCTTGTAAGTGCCTTTTCCCCACAACCTAAGACGCACTAGGTCCTATCACATCTTTGCCAATCTAGTAGGTAAAGAATGCTAACTCATTTGTATTTCTTTAATTATGAATAAGGGTTAAGCATCTTTTCAATGTTTATAAGCCTTTCTTTTGTTTTTCTGTGAACTACCTTAGTGGTTCACTACAGAAAAAAAGATTGTTTAAAGTAAAAGAAAGTTTACCAGTGGAGAAAGCACAGCCACTCCATGGAAGCGAATAAGCGAGATGCTTTCAGACTGGACAGGTAGAAAACTCTCTGTGGACAGTGATGCTTCTTGGATTCTGGCAAGACTTTTCTCACAGAACTTCTCATACTCCTCCATCTTCCCACAATCACACTACAAGAGAAAAAAATGTCAAAAATGAGAAAAATAGATCTTAATTATTGGGCCAATTTTGTAGAGCACTGAAATATTCCTAGAATTCACAATTCCTAAAACTGGCCTTCCCAAAATGGTTTCACTGATCAGAAGCTAATTCCTGGTTATAAGTAAGCACCTCACGATACTACCCAGTGAAGCCTTGGTTCATATATTATATATTTCTGAACATTTGTATGTAAATCAATATTTAAATGTGATTAGTTTAGAAAAGTACTAAGAACTCACCAGTGAAGTTTCCTTTTTAAAGGAAACAAAGTTCTGTACCAGTTTACTAACTTCAGATTATAAAATAGATATTTTCTTTAGCAGGACTTATCTACACAGCACAAGAAAAAGTAAAAAATAAAAGGCAGAAATGCTTTTGTAGCCAAAAAAAAGAAATAAGGGCTATTTAAATAAAAGAGGGTATTTACTTTCAACACTTCTTTTTCTATCATGGAGTTCAAAGTCCGTTATACTTACATATCTTAAGAATTTCTTTTCTACTCCATGGTCACTAGCCAAATCAGTCAGGGGCAGAAAACAGAACATCTATTGGCTCTGGTATTAATTCCATTTTATTGTTGAAAATTGGAACTATCACGAAACTACTTAAAACAATCAGCCCAGGAACTGCACAATTTCTGAAAAATTGTGAGGGTGGCTATGAAAATACAAGGTAACCAGGAAGGATTAGGCAGCATATTCATTCGTCTAGGAAGCATGAAATATTTGATTGCTTGTTTCCATAGCATTATGTCTGGCATTGTTTCCTTTAAATAAGCAAGGGAAAATAAAGAGACATCATCAAAATCATAACCACCAAGGGTACAAACTGTAAAAACAGAAAACCTAATACAATAATGTTCCTTTAAGATACCATAAATAGTGTTCATCTTAAAACAATTAACTAATTAACAAAAAAAAGAAAGGGCAGAGAAATTCAATTCATGATGTGAAATATGCAAAGATGAAGATACAATATGATACTGTCCTAAACCTCAAAGTACTTACAAATTCAGTACACTAAGGTGTCAGGGACAAATTATAGTGCAATTAGAAATGAAGAAAAAGCATTTTCAAAATTATGATTAGATTATGAAAAAATAAGATGTATTGCTAATTTTGACCAACAGCTAGTTTTATTAATAACAAAACTTCTTCCTACCATCTCATCCATTCTAATTATTTCTATATTAAATTTACTCCAAGTGAGAGTTTAATTTCAAAGAAATGGTTCTCTAGAGTATGAGATTATTCTGCAAACCAATATTGATAAAACAAACAAAAGTAAAAAACAAACATAACACCTTACTGCATGATAACCATAGCAAGGCCCCATTTGTCAGTCTGGATTTCAACCCACATTATATCTTAACAACCAAAATACGCAGAAGCTAAGATGTAAGAGAAATTCAAATGACCCCATTTCTGCTAAAATACTTCAAAATATTTTTTACCACAGCCCATGCATCCAGCATTACAGACAACATAAATAGCTGACTCATACAATTAATGTAATATTCTTCGTATGGATACACAAGCAAACATGAAATTCTATTTTAAAGGTCTGAGAAATTTAAGGAAATAAAATATCTTTATGGCAATAGTTCTATTTTTCTTTCAGCAACATCATGAAGATATATGCCTCATGCTTTAGAAAGTTAAATTCATATCCCTTTAACAGTACATGTATGTCAGACATATTGCAGATCCACAGTAAGAGATTATTATTACAGCATAATTTATAGCATATGATAATGCATTCACCACCCAAATACAAGCGCCAATAAGGTGATTACGGAAATTACCAAATGATCCCAGAGCGTGACTGGATCCTTCTTATATTTCAGTCTCAGCTTGGATGTCGCCTCCTCGGAGAGGGTGTCGCCGACGAGCCCATCTAAATTAACCCTGTGACAGTCACTATCACATTGCCCTGCTGTTTTCCAATTTTCATAGCACTTACCACTATCTGAAATTATCTTATTTCCTTGGTTTTCGCCTGTCTTCCTCCACCAAAACGTAAGCTCCATAAGCACAGGTACTTTCTCAGTCTTGCTCACCACTGAAGCCCCATTACACAGAACACTGTCAGCACACAGTTGGCATTTGATAAAAGCGCTGAATAAATGAATTAGGGTAATTAGCTCAAACAATAACGAAAACCAGGAGAAAAAAGAGAGTGGACTACATAGCAAAGAAGCTAGCAAGGAAGAAGGGAATTGAGAGAATGGAGTTTCATGGATGACCCTATTCTCAGAGAAGCTGGTACCTCTAAACTGCAAAGGCAACCGTTTAAAAAGTGAGCGTCCGTATCCTATATTAAGACACTTCGTCTCTCACACCACAATTACCTCTGTCAGCAGGGTTTTATTTTAAGGGAGCCCCGACTACAAGGCCACGCCAAGCACAAATCTACTGCCCCATACTTTACCACCAGGCATTACTGGTCCACTTGAATTAATAATTTGTCAGCTGCATCAAGTTCAGACATGTCTCATTTCTCCATTTATACCATGACTTCTCCAAATGAGCCTCTTTGCAAACCCCACAAACTCATGGTCCTGCTACCTGCTCCTCAGCAGTGCTCTCCCAGAGATGTCACTGAAGGGAATGGTAAAAGTAGCACAGAACAGATCTGGCCTTGTTGTCAGATCCTAGCTGGTTGTTTACCCATCAGTCTTCCCAAAGACATAAACGTCTTATAGAGGTAATAAAGGGGAAAGTTTCTTATTCAGGCCCATACTAGCTGTATGTTCTTGGCAATTCACTTACCATCTCTATGCAGTCTATACGGTCTCCTTATCTGTAAAATAGGAATAACCTGAGTATTTGTCTCAAAGAGATTCTATGAGGATTCGATGAATTAATACACGCATGGCAATTACTATATTGCAGGACATGCAGAGAGCATCAATAAATGGGGCCGCTTTCGTTATGAAGAGGAGGAGGAGGATTTTTATCACTAGATTATGAACTCCTGGAGGGCAGCGACAGTGCTTGGTTCCTGGCAAAATTCAAATATAACTTGAAAACATGGAAAGGGGGTCAACGGCTTCCTCGCTTCGCTGTTTCCAGACCGCTCCCCATTAAATCAATCTCTAGGCGCCTGCCATTTGCCTAAACTGGGGATAGGGAACTGGAATGACAACCAGACAGAAGCAAAGGGTGGGAACCACCTAGCAGCATCAGGGGCAATCAAGAGAACTTGCTTTATTATCCTCATGTTTATGCCCCAGAGAGGCGCAGAGGCAGAGTAAACAGTGCTCCTGGGGCCTCTGGTTGTGGTCACCGGCGTTCAGAAATGTCCAGTGCTCACCCCGGGGACGCCTCCCTCGCCAGCATCGTAGAAGAAAAACGCCCCACACTGTTTGAGCAACAGGCGGTGGTCCCCGGCTCTGGCCCGAGTTTATTTACAGGGGATCCTCTGCCCCAGCGCCCCACGCCCACCTCCCCCAGCTCCTCTGGAAGGCTCCATCCCGAGGGCCCACCAGGCGGTGTCAGCATCCGAGCATCACCTCCGCGCCCGGGCACCCGCCTCCCGACACCCGGCGCCCTTCCAGGGTCTCGAAGCCCGGGGGCCCAGCACCCGCGCTCGGGCTGTCCAGAGCCCGCCCTCAGCTCTCAGGGCGCCAATGCCGCCTTGCCCGGTGGCCTCGGAGCCGGGACCGGCTGAGGATCGAGCCCGCTCCTCACGCACACACCTGATCTCCCACGGCCCGGGCAGGTTTTCTCCCCTCGCCCCGGGCCTTGTGAGGAAGCCAACGGCTCAATCGGTACAGACAGAGAGCAGCTCGGTTCGCCGCCGCCTTCTCCTCCTCTTCCCCGCCATATTACGGGTCTCAGGCGGCAACGCGGGCTCCTGGCAACCGCCGCCGCCGCTGCTCGGACTCCACCTCTCCCCACCGCCACTTCCGGCGGTTGCTTCCCAGGCTGTTGGAACCGTTGGGCCTCCAGAAAACTACAATCCCCGAGGTGCATTGCGCGCCTGGGTAGGCGCCCTGGCCCAATGATGGAGGGAGTAGTACTTACGAGCAGCGCGGTGCACGCTGGGAAACGTAGTCTTCACTACGAGCTGGGGCCTCTGCAGGTAAAATTTATGTGGGAACGCCCCAGGTCTGAAGCCGCCTGAAATGTTCCTTGAAGTTGCTATTTTTCACTTATCCGTACAGAGATAACCTCATTCTGTGTGGTCGTTGGAAAAGATACAACATTCACCGAAATTTTTTCTCTGTAAATAAAATATTGCTGAATCCTAGAATGCCAACTCCAAGCCTTAAGACATCCCTGACCCTTTGGCAAATCAGTGGGAAAAACGTCCAAGAAAGGTAACAGATTCAAGATGGCCCAAAAAGCCCCGAATGTTTTACCAGAGTTCTCTGTCTAAACAACATGTTACCAGCTTTCCAAAATACAATGCAGCAGCCGCTTTCATTTGCTAACTCGGCTTTACCTTTTGCCTCTTTTACTGACCCTGCTTCCCGTGCCTATACTTGCATATATAAAATGAAAGTTTTAAAAGTGCCTATCACAAGGGTGGCTGTGAGGAACAACTGAGATATTCTTGCACAGTGCCTGGTGCATAAGCCCTACTATTAGCCCGTAGTAGAAGGACAAGTAAGGTTACGAGGATGAGTAGCAGTGCAAAAAAAAGTCACCTGGCCTAAAACTGGAGTGGCTTGAGTCAGTCCTGACGCTGCCATTAACTGCTCAACTCTCTTCACCTCTCCTGGCCTCAGTTTCCTCATCTATAAAACGAGGGAATCATTAAAATCCCTTCCAGCTTTATAATCCGATTGTACCTGCTTTGCTATGCTCTTTCGTTCCCTCAGAATCTGAAAAATCCTTCTAAAGTCGACTGAATTCATTCACTCCTGAGATAAGACCTACCCACTGAGGCTGTTGTGAGAATAAACGAGATAACGCATAAATTATTCGCTAGCACAGAACCTGGAATACGGTAAGTGCTCTATAAATGTTGGCGTGCTCCCTAACACTATTATTTTCCCCCACGAGAGCAGGGACCGTGCCGGTCCTGTTCACTGCCGTGTCCAAGCACCTGGACTGGTGTTTGGCACATCTTGAATTGAATACATAAATAGTCTGAGCGTTCTGCTCCTTCAAGGCTCCCCGGGAAGTTTCCTCGAAGGCGGAATGAAGGGGTCACTAAGGTCCCTCCAAGTCCTGCAACTGTACAATGGGTCTTGCATCCCTCCCCTTCTCGAGTCTGAAAGCCCTGGTTGAAGGCCCCACCCCGGCATAATCCAAAACCACTTTGGAACTCGAGCCTGGGGCCGGGGCCCGCCTGCGTTGCCATGGCAGCGGCTCCGCCCCCGAGAGCTGGAGCTCCCCGGCCCTGATTGGCTGGACGGCCGGCTCCTTCTCCCGCTGCGGCCGCCGTCGCCATTGTGCGGCGCTCGGCCCCTCGGAGGGTGTCAGCTGCGGCCGGTGCCTTGAGCTCTCGCTCCCGCTTCTGGTTCTCCTGTCCGGGGAGCCCGGCGGGCCCGGGACTCCCGTCCGTGCCGGTGCGGGCGCCGGCATGTGGCTGTGGGAGGAGCAGGGGGGCCTCCTGGGCCCCTTCTCCTTCCTGCTGCTGCTGCTGCTGCTGGTGACGCGCAGCCCCTTCAATGCCTGCCTCCTGACCGGCAGCCTCTACCTCCTGCTGCGCCTCTTCAGCTTCGACCCGGTGCCCTCCCGCAGGGCCCTGCAGGTGCTCAAGCCGCGGAACCGCGTCTCCGCCATCGCCCACCGCGGCGGCGGCCACGACGCCCCCGAGAACACGCTGGCGGCCATTCGGCAGGTGAGCCCCCCACGCCTCGCGCCCCTCCGGGGAGCTGGACTTCTGCTTGTCCTTCCGCAGATTCCCCAGGCTTCGCGTGATAGCCTTCCCGGTTCCCCATTCGTCCTCAAGAAATACGTTCCTGTGGCTCTCGATCCCTCTGAAGTCTGGACAATCTCCCGACTTCGAGTATTTATAGAACATAGCAAATACTTACATATTTGCTATGTGCCAGGCACTGAGGACACAGTCATGAACAAGACAGAAAGGGGCCTCCCTTTCACAGAGTTGGCATTGAAGTGGGGGAGACAGGCCTTAAATAAGTAAACACATAATAAGCAAGCGAAAGTACAATGAAGAAATAGAGTAATGGAATGAGGGATGACTGGGGAAAGCAGTTAATGCTATTTCCAGATAGTCAGCGAAATCCTCAGAAGAAGTGACTTTTGAACTGAAACCAAGATTGCGAGAAGGAGCCGGCTGTGGATCTGGGGGAAAAGTGTTCCAGAAAAAGGGAGCAGCAAGTGCAAAGGTCCTGAGGTGGGAATGATGTTGGAATGTTCAGATAACAGAATAAGCATATGTGGCTTGACTTCAAGGAACAGAGCAAAGGCTAGTGAATGAGGTAGGAAATGTGGCCAGGTTAAGTAGAGTCTTGGTCAGTGGTTGAGTTTATTCTAAGTGGATCACATTCACAAGAGCTGTCTTTGCTTGTCCTCCAAACTAGCCAGGTCATCTCCTTATCATCTTCCCCCCAGACACACACATTCATCCTCAGATAACCCTGGCGTTGGGACTCTAATCAGTTTCTGCCTCCCCTTGTCACAAGGCTCTCCCGGCAGTCTCCTGACTTCATGAAAATGACCGTTTACATGGTAAGAGAGCTTTTCAGTTGCCTAGCCACTTTTGCATCTGTAGAAATATATCTGATCCTCTCATTTCTTTGAGACATTTTAACATTGAATGAGTAGGAAAGCTGCTCAAACCACAGCTCTTTCTAGAATTCAACCTTCTGATTCCAAGCCTCAATGCTCTTTGTCATAGATTAGAATATGTCCTGGGATGTAAAAACTTGGACTGACTGTCATGTGTCCAGCTAGGGACACACAGTGTTGTGTAATGAGCAAGTTACTTAAGCTGTCAGTGTCCCAGTCAAGAGTCATGACAAGGGTGTGGGAAGCAAGGCACCCTAGGGCACTTCTCACTCTATTAAAGATGGCTTGATTGTTTAAAATCGTTTAGGTAAAATTTAAGTGTTAAGGGAAAAATTTAAGTCTGAAGAAAGAAGGGAGTCAGGAAGGCAGCCTTTAATTGAGCAGAGGGCACCTGACCGTTTATAAACCCAGTTAAACTTCTCTTATGCTTTTTCCCTTTGGTTCTTTGTGATGGAAGGGAGACAGAGCAGCTCTTCTAGCCTTCTGTTTAAAAATAAATCTAAAGATATTGAAGAGTGTATTTTACCTTCTAAACCTAAACCCAGAGAGGTTGCATGAAGTAACACAGCTACACAGGAGATAGAACTCGCATGCAAAGAAAGATGATAATTACCATAGGAAAAAAAGCACATAATTGTCATTGGCTTCCATTTCTACTTACCTTTGTGTAAGTTGCCTTAAAGTATAACTCATTGTTAATTGAGCACAGAAGGTATTCATAAGTATTTACCAATGGGTATGGTAGTTTGGCTAGGAATATGTTTGAGTGAATATAAGTCATGTTAAACGAGGAAGTATGTGTGTGAAATACACATACACATAGAGTGTTTCATATCCCCTCGTGTTGCAAGAGAATTATAGCTAAATTCCATTCATGCCTTGTATGCTTAGGTTGAGCATGTCTTTAATATGTGTAATAATCATAAATAAACATGGTGCCAAGTTGATTACTGGTCTTAAGAGGAAATGAGATGTGGTAATTCACCTTGTTCGAATATTGGGTCATTATCAGTGAACTTTTTAGCTGTAACAGAAT